AAAAATAAACAGATAAATGTATAAAACGTTAAAATTTCAGAAACTTTTACGGAATTGAAATACTCGGAAACAGAAGCAACAATTATCTAGAAGTATTAAGGGCAAAATTTCTACTGAAGCATATTTTAAAAAGTGGGAGCATAACAAAGATTCAAATTTTAAGCTCTTGCTATAATTAAATTTAAATTTAATTCACAATAAAAGTTTTATAGTAAATTTCTAATTTTGCCTAGTGTCAGAAATAAACATAAATTATAGTCTAAGAACTTTATACAATTATTTTTCCTAACCAAAAGAGCTAAATGCGGACATTCGTGATATTAACTGAGTCAATGTATCTACAAAAAAATTTTTTAAAATAAAAATAGACCCTCAGTGGACTGGTCGTAAAAACACGATTTCCTGTAAAACACCGAAGTTAAGCATCATGGGCTGTGATCAGTGAGCGGGTGGGTGACCACTTGATTTGCCAGAGTTGGGACCGATGGTGCTCGGTATTGGTTCTCGTTAAACTGTTCTACCGCAAAGTTCTTGATTTCGCGAGTTCTTGATAAATCGTGAGAGCAATCTCCACTGCAAAGGATCAAAATCGTGATGGGATGTTTTCGGATAATCCTCAAGAATGCTTTCTAGACCACCGCCAATACCTCATTATACCGAAACGTGGTGGCTCGTAGAATAGAGAGCTCGCATCCCAACGAGGTGACCCAGGTTCGATCCCAGTAATGGCTGATATTCGAATTCCGCACTCGGGTCGCACCGACTACAGTGCTGACGTAAGATATTCTCAGTGGAAGACGAATCATGGATTAGAGTCCCCTTGCCGTCAGGCTAATCGTGGGAGGTTTTCGTGGTTTTTCTCATCATGTAACGCAAATGTGAGTTAAACATTTTTACTCCGCTTTTATAAACTTGCTTTTCGTGTGTGCTAATGCAATTTCACTTCCCGACCTGTTAAAGCACTGTTTTCTCTAATGCACCATAATGACTGATGGCAATGCAAGTTTCAATCGCTTCCTGACCAATAAAAGCAGAATTTGTGATATTATTGTCAAAGACAATCAAAATTCCAATCGAAATTCAATCGTCTAATGACAATCAAAATTCCAACTAGCTAGAGTTTTTTAAATTTAACGTAGAATCTATGTTGAATGACAATACAAGTTTTTTTTTTTTTTTTTTTTTTNGAGAAAATTCACACTTTAATCCGTACGAGAATTTACAGTCGTCCTATCACTAAAGAGAATTTTTAGCTAGCACAATTATGACAAAAAATTTATGACCATTTAAATTTTCTGGTTTACTAGAATGCTCAGATCTCAGCTCTGTGTTGGATAATAAAAATTTCAATCGTTTCATCCCATATATTACAAATAACGTGTAACATATATTACAAATTATATGTTACGCTGAATTGCTAACAAATAAATGTGATTGGATGGCTAAACAAACCAAAATTTGACTTTTAGGTGTTGCAAAATAAGAATCCTTACTCAGTCATAAATTACCTCACTTAGAAAATCTGACATTGTGCCAGAAATCTGTGCACTTGCAGGCTAACTCTTTTGCTGAAAATATGTTATGAATGACTTTAAATTACTCTTAGGAAATTCGGAGTGGTTAAACGTTTGAATTTAGACTAAGAAAAAGTATTTAATAGGATGGGTTCGGAAAAAATTCTTACTGAGCATGAAAAAAAATCAAATAAAGGCTTACAAAAATGCCGGCTTTTCTAATCTCGAGCGATAGTAAAGAAGATCGAATGACATGTGGCAAATAATTTTTTGAAACTTGAAAATCACTATGACACCAAAAAATCGTCAGGTAGACCAAGGTTGCTGACCTCCTGACAAGAAAGAAGCATTATCTGGATGCTTAGCAGTGACGAAGCTAGTTTGAGATAGCTCTCACGTAACTCTGACATTAATGTGCACATGTAAACTTGTTCAGAATTGTTAAAAGATGTGGAAACATAAAGTACAAAATAAGAAAACTTCAACTTCGGATGACAGAAACTCACAGAGCTGTTCAGTTAGCTTGGAGAAAAGAACATTAGAACTGAGGTAACAAGCGAAGAATATTAGTGTTCAATTACAGTTAGTACTGGCATGACCTATGTAAGGAGGAACAAATTTTCTCAAAAAGACATCAAGGTGGTGGGTCCTTAATAGTGTTTGGAGCATTTGGGTACAATGGTAAAGTAAACCTTGCCTTCTTTCCATCAGGGCGTATGAATGCCACCGATTACCAAGACATGCTGGAAACGTATTTGTTACCCATTGAAGAAGCATTTGGGGGATCATTTTGGATTTACCAACAAGATACTGCCTCAATTCACGCCGCTAAATCAACTTGGTTTCTCACTAATGAGGGGAACACTATGGATTGGCATGTTGTTTCGATGGACCTGAACCCCAAGGAGAATTCTCGCCAGGGTTGCTTATGCAAACAATATAATAACACACGGGATTTGAAAGTTGACATTATTTCTGCATGGGAAGCCATTGAATCTCCGATGTTACAGCAGCTTTTAGATGGAATGCCTCGTTGCGTATTTGCAATTGGAGTTAACAAAGGAGCATTTGTTGGATATTAACTGAGCCGAGGTCATCTTTTTGCAACACGTGAAAAGTATGTGTTTCTAATTATTATAAAATGTATTACATCGAAACTATTTTATGTACCTTTGACAATAGAATATAGTAAATAAATTGCATTTCTTAACAATACGTAAAATTAAATAAAACAAAAAAAAATCGAGGTGAGGTCAACATTTTGTAATGCAAAAAATTTATATATTATGTTATTGCGAATGACCGATATTGGTGGTTGTTGACAATCACATAGTCGCTTTAGTAAATTTTCGAAATATATACTAGGTCTATTCAAGTGCCAGGTATGCCCTACATCAATGTTTTTTTTTAAGGTTCAGTGTCACTGCCCGGTATGCATTTAACCGGTACTCCGAACACTGACGTTTCTTCTAATCTATCCTCAGCAGATATTAAAATATCTAATAAATTAATATCAAATCGCATATAACAAATGTTTCTGACATTCACCTAAGCGACTACGTGAAAGTTGACATTCTTTGATTTCGGTCATTCACTGTAACATATGCATTCTCTCTTTGGTTATATGTGTGAACCAAAATTATCACGAAGGATATATTTTAATTATAATTGTGGACTTCTCAAAGGGGGAGATCACTTTTAACTGCGCCTTAAAAGCTCTTTTTTAATCCCATTAAAACTGGTCGAAGGAGAGCACTTCACCTACTAGAACTACTTCTCCAGGCCTGCTCATTCCGAGTTCATGCGTAATTAAGAGTGAGATACGTATCAAGACGAGTACCGGATGGATTGATGTTACGTTCGTGTGACTTTGGGCAGCTACAGTCCGAAAGCCTCGCTTCACAAGGGTACTGTGGGTCGTGAAGGAAGAATAGCGAGATCACATATATGTAATCTCGGTCTTGAAGATGTTAAATTAATACAGCTAATTAAATTCTCGAAACTGTAAGTTAGATTATTGACACAGCTGACCTATTGCTCACGCAATTTCGCATATTATTGGTTTGTAAGTTGCACCATTTTTGACAATACTGGTCTGTAGGCTACAGAATTTTAAACATTGGTATCCGAAATTTAAATTAGAGATTTAATTTTTTAAAAATGATAATTGTAAAAGATTGTGGTATTGCATGCCTTAAATTAAAAAAAAAACAAAAACAGCATAGATTCAAATCTAACATTATTTGCATTTGAACTGAAGAAAACTTCAATTCATGATCAAAATTTTTTTTTTTTATTCAACTTCATTCAACATTGAAATTCCCAGCTGGTTTCGTAGCTAATCAGAATGTAGTCGAAATTCTGACAACAGACACAGCTCCAGTAGAAATTAAAAGCATTTATACTCGATATTTAGTAAACGTACTAAGAAGCCGATATTTAGATTGTAGAAAATATCGCGATAAGTTCTGCTTGTAGGAGTCTATAAACTTTGTACTGCCCAAACGCACAGTGCTCCAGTCGTATTTGATTGCTCTAGCTAGTAAACTGACAATTTACTAACTAGAGCACTCCAATTTCACCTGGAATTCCCGTTGGTAATAATATCGCTATAAATCTTATTTGCAGTGATGATGAAACGATTGAGATTTTGTTTAACGGTTGAATATGGCGGACTGATTGTATACAATCAGTTCGCGATCATTGGTTTTTATTTGATCACCTCATTTCAGATCATTTAGAGAAATAATTCAGTGAGGTTAACATTTTACAACGTACCTTATATACACATCAATATCTCTTCTAAATGGCTCTGTCATCAAACTGATAAGAACAGGAGCACATGCTCTTGCAAAGAAATTAAGTCTGGTTACTTTAAATAAAAATCTTTCATTTACATGTGTTCTAATTATAGTCTGTGTGCCATTACTAAGTTCATTATTACAGAATTACATAATTTAAATGCATTAAATGATTGGTAAAAAAACTTAAGGACTTAATTTAGAAAAATAATAATACAGTTTTCATATATTATAATCTAGCCCTAAATAATCTTAACATTAAAATTGTCATTACCCAGGTATTCTAAAAAAAATAAGTTATAAAAGAAGCAGACATTTTAATAGTCAAAACTTAAGGATGGAAAGCAAAAATATTAAAAATGAATAAAATCTAAAATTGCGAGATAAGGAAAAAGTATGTATTCAAAAAAAAGTATGTTTGTAAAAGTGTGTAACTAAATATTCTGCTGAATGCAAAAAATTCACCTGATCACTTTTTTTTCTTGCCAATAAAAAAAAAAAAAAAAAAAAAAAANACAGAGTAAGACTCTGTCTCAAAAAAAAAAAAAAAAAAAAAGCTAGTTTCAAGTAGGTCCTTTATGTGTATTATATGATTACTTCAATGTGCATTATTATAATTGAAGGTTGTTTGAACAATGTTTATTTTAAAAATAAAGTAATACATTGTTCAATTAAGAAACAATACTTTAAAACAAAATCGGCATTTTATTGACAAACTACTGCAAAGATTCCAGATCTTATATTTAATGAAAAATAATCAAAAATGATAAATTACAGCATATTTCTACTAAAAAAGGTAGACAATTATAAATTGTGTGATTTGCAATTTGGAGGCACATACTTTAATCACCAGAATTACAGTTCAAATATAATAAATAAAATCTTGGACATAGAAACAGATTACAGTACATAAACAGAAAATACTAAAATTCAATTCATTATAAAATTACTTCATTGAAAGACAGATAACAAAAAGAACTGAGCAATTCTTCAGCAAACTACTAAATTTAATTTTAAATCTGTATAAAACTTCTATATTAGAAAAGTAAAACTTTTCAGAGAAAATTCACACTCTGGATTTATGATTTTAATTTTTAACTCTTTAGAACTCTAAACTTTATAATATTGAAACATATTAAGCAACATGTATTATTGTGAAGCTCTTTAGCCTTTTTTTTTTCTTTTAATAGCTCACCACTGTATGGTACAATAAGATGATATACTGATGAATAGACACAAAACAGATATAACACAGAAAACATGACAGCAGTCTTAAAATTTGCACAGTAATACATTAATACAGAAGATTAGTTTTACTCTTAGACTATGTGAAATAGGAAAACAATGACTTAGAGATCAAACAAATGATCGCAATTTTAGCTTTCAGCAACACTTTTAAATACTTGGCACAAGTTAAATATAAAAGAATATAGTTTTCCTTGTCACAAGATGAAACTGTACCATATTACTTGGAAACAATCCAACATTTATGAAAATGGGTTCGTAAATATAATAAAACTACATTTAACTCATCTGGTAAAAAAAAATTAACACCATGCTCAGTAAAAGAAAGTTAGTGTTTGGAAGAAAGTTGAAATGCTAATATAAAGATGATAGTGTAAAATCAGGCGTATCTTGCAAGTTTCCCCCTTAATTTTACATTCTCTTTCATGGCAGCAGAAAAGAAAAAAACAGTAATGAACTAAAAGTCAGATATATAAAAGTTCCAGTGGTGAGTTCTTCAGTAAAAAATTAATATAGGCTATATGCTAAAAAGAAAATGATATGAAGCCAAATTGTACTTGAAAAGTAGAACGTAACAAATGCAAAAATGTTTTGAAGAACTGGGAATTAAACAAATAACATAACCTCAATATACAAATAATCAACAAACTTTCAAATAATAAAATACTCATAGTTAGTTCATAGATTTTAAAATCTTTTTCAAATAACATACAAAATACATACAATAAGTATTGCATTAAAATTTGAATTAAGGTTTCTAAATAAAACCATACATGATATTCAAAATTAAGTTATTTTGACAAACATTTTGCTGGGGAAACACTTGGTATACTTTAACTGCCGCTAGTAAGAAAAACGGCAGAGTTCGGGTTGTGCACCACTACTGCTTCATAGCTCATAACACCCAAATGGATATAACAGCTACAAATAATTTCTCAATGACATCTTTCACATAGAAGTATACTACAAGCTAACTATAAATCTAAAGAACAGAGATGCCAAAAACTTTATGTATCAGCTATACAAACATTTATAAATATCACACAGCTTTGAAAGAAATAAGAAGCATAATCTCTCGTGAATTTTAGATGTTAAAATTGAGGAAATCAAAATTTTAAAGAAAAAAATAAGAAAAACTTCTAAGGGTTCAATACATAAAATATACAGCAAACACCCAATGATATGACGATTTGAATGCAATTTCTTATCTTAATTCACATTTTTCTTTCAATAAAGTATACAGCATTTGCATTTAATTTTATTTCAATAAATAAAAATGTACAATAAACATTTAATGATAAATTCAATACTATTTCAGTGTAATTTATTTGCAGTAAATTTTTCTTTCTTTACATAACAAGAAAAATAACAAATGGAATGAGTAGTTTTTAAATTAAAGAATGCACGGAATGTTACAAAACACACATGAATTTTAAAAACAGAAGAATAAGTTCTCCTTGATTCATGATTAACCACAAAATATTTAACGATTGGAATTTGGAATGATCATGGGGAAAAATAGTAACACTGATGATCAATTAAAAACATAATTCAAAACAAGTCCTTCAAGGCATGTACATAGAAATAGTAAACTTTGGCATCTCTGTCAATACAAATTTTATTCATTTTCCATCAAAATGAACTGTGACCTACATTAAAGTTACACTCCAGGTCAGGAACAAAATACTGTAAGTTGAAAACCTGATCAGAAACATTCAGCTTAAAGTATTTTCACATCTGGTATTATAAATAATTCTACGGATTTTCAAGTCCAGACAGCACAATTTTAATTGACAAAAGTGCAACAGTCCAATGCACCGATTTATAATATGTATTTATATATAATGAGACATTTCAAAAACAAGGTCAAAACTGGTCCTGCAGTAACTCGCATAGTTCTTTTGAAACTGAATCTTTACTAGTTCTTACAGTCAGGCGATACATCTGAAAAGAAAGAAAAAATAACAAGGTCTGTGCAATAGTAAAAACTATGCATGATTTTTTAAATTTTAAAGAGAGGCTAGGAAAAAGAATTTGAAAATTTTGATGTAGAAAAATACCAAATAATAAAATTAGATAATGAAGTAGTAACTACAAGGTGGGGGAAATAATGGAAACATTTCTATACTAATAAATTTTTTCATATTTCTCCATAAAAATTTGACGATTTATTTTATAACTTTAGGACTGTTTAGATCATGCAATTTGTCATACATATCAATGAAGTTTAAAGCTTTTAGAGATTTGAGGAACAGACTACAAAATACAATAAAATACCTCGAAATATCTAGAATATATTTAAGAAATTTTTTTGAAAGGAAACCATAGCTCCTTATAATAATTTTCAAGTCAGCAATTACCTCTGTTGTCAATATAAATTTATGCCATTGACTTAACTTGTTTTGAAGAATCCATGAGAATAAAAAATACGCTTTTTAGCGAATGATTTGCTCTTTACTTTTCTCTTATGTTGTTGATTTCTAAAGATTATTAATAACTTTTATCATTGAAAAATTACTTCAACATCTGAGCTCAGAAAAATTATTACTGATGATCAAAAATTGAGAATTATTGATTTAAATAATTTTCATCTATGTTGAAAAATCTTGCAAAATTTACAGCTTTTTTAAAACAAAAGTTATTTTTCTTTTTATCATTAAAAATAAATATTTCTTAGAATCTTTTCGATTATTTTTAACATTTTTGTTTAAAAAAATTTAGTTGGTGAAACATTGTTAAATTTTCTTTTAAAAAGACTAAAATGTCCTGATTTTCTCCTCACTGTGTTAACATATAGGGGTTGGACAAAATAATGGAAACACTTCTGTACTAATATATTTTTTCATATTTCTCAATAAATAATTAGAGAATCATTTTGTAACTTCAGTGGTATTTTTATATAATGCAATTGCTCATACTTCTCAATGAAGTTTAAAGCTTTTAGAGGTTTGAGAGACCGACAACAAATTATAAACGTACAATAGTGTTTTTGAACATCCTATGCCAAAAAATTTAGCAAAAGATTTGCAACTCGTGACAGTTATTTTGGTAATTACATGCAATAATTGAACAAAATTTATAAATCTAGCTTAAATATTTATGGAAATATAAAAAATTTTTTAAAGAAAAACTTAATTTTTGGAGTAGGTAATTTTTAATTAATAATAAAAATATTCGCTTAAAAATTTAAAGCAATTAGTTTAAAATTGCTCAAAATATGGGTACAAGTTCTTTTTCAATTTGCATGAAAGGAAAAAATTAAAAACAAATTTTTCTTAATTTTGTAGTTAATCGTATTTGGCAACTAATGAAAAAAGACAGATTTGTGAAATGAAAAAGTCCAATCTTGAAAATTAAAAAGTATTATTTTGTCTACTCTCTGTACGTATGTTTATTTTTCTGTGAAAAAGTTTGTCTATGCAGTATCTCCTAATACACAGATTCCCAAATGGTGTTCCACAGAGCTATATGTTGCAATATAATTTCTTAAGCTACTTTCATAATATTTATGTAAATAATTAAAATTAACGAAAAATTACAAAAACAGATAATTTTAAAATCAAGACAATCATGTCTTAAAAAAAAAAGCTTTTAAAAAATTTTATAACAGTTAATGACTTGAAATGATATTCTTTAAGATTTCCTATAATGGAGTGGTCACAAAATGAACAAAACAAAGCGATTAATCAAATGTGTTTAAATTTGCATGTCTATAATTTCTTAACTTAAAATAATATCTGCACTAACATATTTGAGGTCACCTTTTTAAACCATTAAGAATGAGAAAAACATGAAGGAACATTGGATCCAAAGTAATTCAGGGTGGCCAGTTTTTATTTTTTGGCACACAAAGATTTTTAAATCGTGAAATACAAATCGCAATGCGTATCTTTTAAATTAGATAAATACGAAAATTGATGTTTGATATTAAAATCGTGATATTAGCATATTCCAGCAAGTTCAAAGCATTCAAAGTGGTGAAAATCCGCCAAATCAAATTGGCTAAAGAACCACATGTATGTAAACGGCTCTTTAACATTATTTAGCAAAAGTCTCAAAATTTCGTCAGATCATAAGGTTTTGATTGACGAAAGTTAAGACCAGGCAACTTGCAAAATAACAAAGTTATAAGAGCCGGGAGGAAGGATACCAAAAACACGGAATTCCAGTGCACACCGAGAATACCATCACCCCTGAAAGTTTCTCAGGACAAACTTGAAGAAATTAGAATTAAATTTTATCTCTAAATAAAAAAGGAGATGAAAATTAAGAAATGATGAAGTTCTGTCGTTGAATATTCTAAACTCACAGGAAAAAATTTGTGAACGATTCCCAAGTTCCGATCTACAGATAAAACAGTATACTAACAACATCAACATTCCAGCAATACGTGGTAATGAGCCCTGTGGCAGAATTTTTTCGGCTCTTCAAGGACATACCTCTCTAGTACTAATATCTTTCCGCAAGGTACTTTTAATAATAAATATACATGTTACTAATTTAAAGTAACAGAAGAGTCATAAAAAAAAACATTCCGGATCAAATAAAATAATTTTTTTTAATTGAATATGTAATATTTTTTTATTCTTATATTATGGCAGATATTCTCGCATTTTGTAAGGGGAAAACTCACTAATTATTTCCCAGGGTGCGTAACCAAATCTTTGAATCAAAAATAAGCACTTTTTAAAAACTTTTCAAGCACTTTACAAAAATTTTCAAGCACTCAAAAAATTCATATTCAATCAGTGATATCATTGAAAAACAAAAACTTTTTATTAACAGTTTTAGCGTTAAAAAAAACCCAACAAGAAACAGACGTAAATCGAAACAATCAGTACTTTCCCACATCATCGAGTGAATTCAACTTGACCCTGAACTCAGAACAAAAGTACCCGTACCCCCTACGTCAAAAAAGTGTTAGAAGTAAAATAAAATAAACAATAATAAAATTAAAATAAATTAAAAAGAAAAACATTTCATAAGGATCTGATATTCTCTATCCGGATTAGAGCACTCGGGTTTCGGTTTCAAGTCTGCGCGCATGCGCAAGTCATAACGTGTGTACGACATGAAGGCCGCGTTAATGATTACGTAGCAAACACCCCATTTTTTGTGAAATGCATGGGATCCACCAGATATCACTGAAGGGAACAAAAAATTATTCGGGAAAAAAAGCACTTTTTAAAAACACCAGCTGAAAAATGCACCTTTAAAAGCTTTTAAAAACGAAATCCCCAAAAAAGCACCTTTAAGTACTTTTTACAAACGCTACGCACCCTGTTTCCCTTTTCACCTTTTGTATATCATATTAAAAAAAAAAAAAATTGTGAAATCCGCAGCAGTAACTATAGAAAAAAAAAAGATAAACGGCGGAATAAAAGTTTTTTAAAATGGTTTCCTTTTTATTCAAAGATTCAGTCATTGTAACACATAATATTGTATTAAAAAAATGAGATTTCAAAAATTGGTTGGAAATAAGTGCCCTCTCTCAAAGAAAAGAGCGAACCATTGCTTTAAAAATAAAATATTCATATGTGTGGTTCAAATTTATTACAATGTCAGAATTAAATCTGGATATTTAAAAAACCATGTGAAAATCAATATCAATAACTGTCGAAAGTGCAATCGAAACAATACATTGATTTGCCACAGTATTGGTATAAAGTCATTTAAATGCCAATTTAAATTTCATGTGTAGAAATAATATTGACAGAGAAATAACCAGAATTTTAAAAACTCAGTGGAATTCAGTAGCACTAGCAATAAAAAGTTTAAAAACTATGAAATCCTCATATTAAAAGTAAATAATTGATTTCAGTTTCGCGTACAATTAAATTGTATAAAAAAAATCCATATTAATTTTTTTTAAAAATGGGGAAATTCGTAGCAATAACTTTCCAAAAAGTGATTGAAATACTGCATAAATTAATGAGAATATTGGTGCAAAACTAGCGTGACAAAGAATGATTTCTTGAATGTGAGATTGAAATTTAATGTGCATTAATAATATCTGTATATTTACAAAATTCAGGAAACATTTTAAATAATAACTGAACTGACATCGGAATTTTGAAAAAACAAAGCAAAATTCTAAGCAATAATTATAAACACTACAGATATTTACGAATGGAATACAGTGTAAAGTCGCGTATCCGGAATCGGTGGGACTTCCAGAAGTCCGTATAATAGATTTTTCCGTATAATACACCCCCAAGGTAAACAAAGCTTAAAATGAATTAATAAACGATCTGAATCTAAGAAGCAAAAAATAAATAAACACTATTTTTAAGGGGAATAATGTTTTAGCATTAAAATGTCTAATCAATCAAATATAAAATATTAGAAAAAAAATATTATTGCTGAAAATATGGAAAACGAAAAAAATTTAACATTTACGAAAATATTAATCCGCCATTTTGAACTAGAACGATTCAAGCAGGAAGGGAAAATTCTGGAGCAAAGCTTAAAATGATCTAAATCTAAGAAGCAAAAAATAAATAAACATTATTTTTAAGGGGAATAATGTTTTAGTATTAGAATATCTAATCAATAAAATATGAAATATTAGAAAAAAAATATTATTGCTTAAAATATAGAAAACGAAAAAAAATTGACATATGAAAATAATAATCCGCCATTTTTAACTAGAATGATTCAAGCAAGAAAGGGAAATTCCCGTCATTCATTAAGGTGGGTAGGTGGAGGAGAAAAATTCATTTCCTCCTTATTTGTGAAAGAAAATAAGTGTAAAGAGGAGATCATTTAAGTTGAGGGTGGGGAAGTAACAAATTATTGTTTTCTCTCCAATCATTGGCTATCAATCAAGCATAAAGGCGGGGCACGCTGATCGGGTTCTCTTTATTTTTTCTTCTATGACTGAAAGAATCTGCTAAAGAAAGAATGTTACCCCCTTTTCCCCCCGCCTCCTAAATATTACATGG